AGAAGAAGCCCGGGACTTGCTGCCTGGAGCTCTCTGCCAGGGTCAGCTCAGGGAAGGGAGGAATCAGGTGGCTGCGGGCACTCCCTTCAGCTGGAGGAGCAGGCAGATTCAGTGAGAATCCTGCAGGAGTGGGCAGGATGAGCTGCCGCTGATCTCAGTGACCTGGGCAGGGACGAAGCACAGAGGCACGGCCATGGTTGTGACAAATGCATTCTAGACAGAGAAACAAGCCACAGGGCCTGGCTGCCTCCACTCACCCTTCCAGAGCTCTCCTTTCATTCTCCCAGAGCTAGCAGCAGGCCCCAGAAAAAGCTGTAGTAGTGAGTGCTGGGTTGCAAAGCACATTATTTGCAAACCCAAGAATGGGTACTAGGGAAACACTTTCTACCTGAGCCACAGGCACCCTCTTCAACTAATCCCAGGTCGAGTGGAGACACAGATTGGATGCCTCAGAGGCCTGCCAGTCACCATGACTGGTAGGGCAAAGCCACAAAGGAAGCGACCAACTTCCCCCAGCTCATCCCACCCCCACACATCACAGTGTACTGCTGGCAGTGTCTGGATACAAGGGGCAGCACTGGGATTTCATTCCATCATTTACCACCTTTCCCCCCTCCCTCCCCGCTCCGTGGGGTTGTTCTCCTAAGACCTAGGCATGTAAACTAGGAAGGCTTCTCCAGCCTTCCCAGGGAGCATAGGCCATTTCCCGCCACCCCTCAGAGATCTGAAAAACCAGAGCAATTCAGGAGAACAAAAAAACTTGTGATTCAGCACCACCTATTGGAAAACGATTGAGAGAATTAAGCAAACAGAACACCTAATTATCTCAATTCAAAAAGGCCTTTTCCAAAGCACATTGTATTAAAACTGTCAAAAATTAGTGACAGGAGATTAGATGCATTTAAAAAAAGAGAAAAGACTGCTGTATATATGAACATTTCTTTTATGTAAACTTAATGGCAACTACATATAAAAACCCAAAACTGAGACACATAACTTAGAAGAAAGAGGAAACAGAGGGAAAAATTATGAAATACCACCAAACAAAAACAACAGACAGAAACACAAGGAAAAAACAAACAGTGGAGGCACAGAGCTACCAGAAAACAAAAGATAAAATGGCTATAGAGAGTCCTCACACACCAAGAATCACCGTAAATGTACATGAAGTGAATTCACCAATAAAAAGGCACAGAGTGGCAGATTGGATCAAAAACAAAATCCGAGTTACCTCAAAAAATTAAAAGTGGAACTGCTTTATGACCCAGCAATTCCACTTCTAGAAATTTATCTGAAGAAACCTGAAATGCTAATTTGAAAGAATATATGCACCCCATATTCATTGCAGCAATATTTACAATAGCCAATATTTTGAAACAGTTCCATCAGTAGATGACTGAGGAAAAAAGTTGTGGTACATTTACAGAATGAAATACTACTCTGTCATAAAAAGGAAGAAAATTTCACCCTTTGCAACAGCATGGATGGACCTGGAGAACATTATGCTAAGTGAAACAAACCAGTCAGAGAAAAAAAAGAACCATATGATTTCACTCATATGTAGAATGTGGATGATCAAACTGAACTATTAAGCAAAACAGAGACTAATAGAGGGCAGGCAGATAGCTCTGGTGGTGGAGGTGTCAGGAGGGTTGGAGGGATTGAGCAAAAAAGAAAAAAAAGAGAGAGAACTCATGAGCATGGCTGACAGTGTGATGACTGTGGGGGGTGGGGTGGGTAGACGTGGAAGAGGGCATAGGAGGGATAAATGATGATGGAAAAAATAAAATAATATTTAAAAAAACCCAACCATAGCCCCAGCTGGTTTGGCTCAGTGGATAGAAGTGTCAGCTTGAGGACTGAAAGGTCTCAGGTTCGATTCTGGTCAAGGGCACATGCCTGTGTTGCCAGCTGGATCCCCAGTAGGGGGCGTGCAGGAGGCAGCCAATCAATGATTCTCATCACTGATGTTTCTATCTCTCTCTCCCCCTCCCTTTTTCTCTGAAATCAATAAAAATATATTAAAAAATCCAATCATATGCTGCCTTCAGGAGACACATCTAATTTGCAAAGACAAAAATAAACTCAAAGTGAAAGGATGGAAAATGATTCTCTAAGCAAATGGCATCCACAGAAAAGCAGACGTAGCCAATGCTTATATCAGACAAAATAGATTCCAGGATAAAAAAGTAATAAGGGTCCAGCTGCAGTGGCTCAGTGGTTGAATGTTGACCTATGAACCAGGAGTTCACGGTTCCATTCCTGGTCAGGGCATATACCCGGGTTGGGGCAGTGTGGGGTGTGCAGGAGGCAGCTGAGCAATGATTCTCTCTCACCATTGATGTTTCTCTTTCTCTTCCTCTCCTTTCCTTCTGAAATCAATCAATACTAGTAAAGTGATAGATACAAAATAATCATGGGAATGTAAAGTACAGCATAGAGAATATAGTCAGTAATCTACACTAATAAAAGAGAAACATGGTAATTGGCGTACGACCGCTATCCTTCCCATTGGCTAATCAGCATATCCTTATGCAAATTAACTGTCAGCCAAGATGGCGGCCAGCAGCCA